ATTTTATGGGGGGGGGAGGTTTGGCCAGAACAGATTAATCACATTCAACTTATAACCATTTCGAGTTATGCCCATCTTCTGGAACGGATTATGGTCGTAATTTGAGGCACTACTATATACGATTTGAGAAGGAGCTTTTTGCTAGGATCTGCCTCATTTAAACCAGTCCTCTGCCAAGACTCCTACATTGTGATCTCTCCAGCGTAAAGCCTACTGCTATACATTAAAGGCCAAAGGTCCAGGTGCTACAGCAAAATGGCTCCCAAGATACTCACACCACGATCCCACATCGTCTGTTGAGAAGGGGCCATTTTTCATCCACTGGACTTCTCCTGGCTCTTCTTTCGAGACAGGACAGCACCACAATTATGGCAAACTACAAAATGGAAGAGAAGTCATGAATGCAGGTGTGTCAAGCCATCCTTCCAGCCACGGCATAAAGCCATCAATTACACGAGTCTACTTACTGATGGAATAAGCGAATAATGCAGAAAAAGTCCCAGGTCGATGGAACCGCAGGTCTCATTTCGTGCCTGCCTACTCAAAAAACAAACAAACACACACACACATACACAAAAGCAGACACAGGTTTAAGAGGAAGTTTCACCAAGATTCCAGTTTTTCTGAATTTGTGGCAGAAACTCTGGGGGACTCTTTTGTTTGTTACACGCTTTCTGCTAGAAAACAAATCCTCCATTTAATTTTATTGAGTCGGTGAGATGAATGAAGAAGGGAAAACACAAAAGTGTATATTAGAAACACAAACGGGGTCTTTGTATCAGGACTCTACCAGGTGGGCCAAAAACTCCCAGTTAGTCCTGGTTGATGGTGTAGGAGCACAGGAGTTCCTAGGATTCATGTTAACTTTGCACATCTGAAAACTGCTTCTCTTAAGAAAGTCTTTGAACTCCTTTGGAACATATATTAGAAATTCGCTTCCCTACTAGATCTTCTGTACTAAAGTTAACAGGGGCAGCTAACTGAAAGCGAATCAAAAGCTTCCAACCAGGAGGCTTTGACTACAGAAATAAACTCAAAATGTATAGTACCAAAGCACCAAACTCCACCCTCTGGATCAAAGTGAGATTAAAATAAAATACCTTGCAGGAAGGTGGGGGGAAAAAATCCCACAAAACGTCCCAGAAAAATGTCACTATACTAACCACGAAAAGAGGAACGTTCTGTGGACGACAGGGAAAATGCTGATAATATCAGTACAGAATTAAGCACATATGAGAGAACAAATGCTATGTCAGGAACAGCTTTCAGTGTCCCCAAGCCCATCACATTAGTGGAACTCCTGCCATTCAGCAGTTAAGCATCTACTTCAGATGCAGAGTTTCCCCCAGTTGGATCTCTAGTAGCTCCTCCAGGGTTCAGCTACGAAGGGTTCAGCTTCCACCTGAAACTCTGGAGCGCCACTACTAGTCACTGTGGACTCTAACAGGCAACAGAAAGATCAGAGGTCCGAGTCAATATTAGTGAACACAAGGCAGCTTTAGAAACTTAGAAAGTTTCTTTACAAAGTCATTGAGTTAAACTTACTATTCCAAGACTCAAAAAGGGAGACTAGTTAAATATATATATAATTTTAAATAGCAGATTTTTTTTAAAATGGAGGCATAGGAGTCCAGGTTGCACAGCAATAAAGTTGTAATAACATAATGCAATTTTACTTTAATCTGGTGGTGGTAGAGAGTATTCATGAGCAGCAACTTGCTACCTGTAAACAGTGACTTCCAAGCTCTGAGCCATCTTCTGGCCAAGTCCAGGATGCTGTTATGCCAAAGGATTGTACCTGATCTTTCGTGGGATATCTACCTTAGGTGTGGCCTTGACAGTTCATCCAACGTGGATCCCATTCTCTTTTTGGCCACAAAACACATGGGGTGCAGTTTGGGGTCTGTCATCACTATTGCTCAGTCTAATCTACCTTACAGGGTTGTTGTGAAGATACAGTGATATACGTTGAATATTTAGATCAAGTACTTCCTTCATACAATTCCATATTTGCTGTTAACATGGCTGACTGCCTAACTGTTGATAAAAGTAGAATTACTCAGCTGTGGCTGTTTTGAAGTAAATGTTCATAGGTGTGCAGCCAGAGTTCTCCAACTATCAAATATTGAAAATCATTGGGTGTGACAGATGGAAAACAGAATATTCCATAATGTTCCTGAACTCTTATTAATGGGCAGTGTTATTAATCTGTCGGCCATGGGGGTCATTCAATCTGCCTTATAAATAACTTTAAGAGATGGGTTAAGCTCAAATACAGTGTTGTTCTGAAGGTCGCACTGTCAGTTTAATGCCCAAGCCAGTAGGCTTTGGTCTAGATGGGCGGGGTATAAATTAAATAAATAAAATAAATAAATAAAATCCAAACTTTCCTCCTCTTGTATAATATTCTGTTTTCAAAGGACCCTGTGGTTAATTATTTTAGTATATATTTCTCTTTTCTAATTCATTCATGATTTTATATACCCTGTTTGTGTCAATAATGAAACACCTGCAAAGTACAACTGAAAGAAACAAGAGAAGATGGTAAATTCTCATTTTAAAATGGCACTTCCCTGAGTGGTAAAAAACACCTGTTTGTCCTAATCCAGCACAAACTTTTTTTCTTATTTCCATATCTTGCATTCCAAAGGGCTTTGTTTTGTGATTGGTCATTGAGAAGTAAACATGGGCTTAATTTGTAAGTCTTACTGCTGAGGCACTCAGCTTTGGCATATCCCCAGGAAGTGCAGGGAAAACACGCTGATAGCAGGAAATATGCAAATTCCTTTATATTTTGTTTGACCTTAAGAGATGACAAATGTCCTAATACAATGCTACTCTTATCAGCAGTGCTAGTGGGAATATATTCACTCAAGATTTAATTCAACATTCTGTACAACGGTGCCACTTCCAATTCATTTTATCATTGGAAGAGGATGAAGGAATACCGCTACTGCCCAACTGAAAGAGGTAACACTCTGCTGCATTTGGAGAATATCCTAAACCAGCAGAAAACGTTGCAACTCCAGGATTACAAAAAGGGGGGGACAAGGGAGTTCCTCTGAGTCCTCCAATAAGCCAGGGTGAAGATTTGGAAAGGGACCTAGGCAGCAGTGTGGCAGGAGAGGATTTAGAAAAGCAGAACTCCTTAGCCACATCTTTTGCTCCGCTTGCAAAAAAAAAAGAAAGAAAGAAAGAGAAAGAAAAGTGTGCTGCTTATATACTGCCCCATAGCGCTTAAAGCACTCTCTGGGGGGTTTATAATTATGCAGGCTACAATTTGCCCCCCCCCCCGCGCACACGCGCGCGCGCGCGCACGCACACACACACACACACACACACAGCAAGTTGGATACTCGATTTACTGACCTCAGAAGGATGGAAGGCTGAGTAAACCTTTAGCCGACTACCTGGGATTGAACCCCGGGTCATGAGCACAGTTTTGGCTTCTGTACAGCAGTTTAACCACTGCACTACAAGGCGCAAGGAAAAAAACCCCTCAGTGATGACTATGACTGTAAGAAGAAGAGAGCCCTCTTCTCAGGCCTTTCCAGTGGGGCTTCCCAAGACAAGCACCCTTTGCCTCCAAGGTGGGGAAAAACCTTGGAAGGCACCCAGGTCTGTGGATTTAGCCCACTCAGGATCCAGAGACTGGGCTTCATTGCTTATTTTTTTCATTAGTAGTCTTGCTGCCGCAATTCCATATTTAATCAGGGCATAAAGCCCTCTTCACATGATCAGAGGCATCCTAGTAATTAATGAGTCTCAATGAGACAAATAAGATTTAGATAACCTGGATGTTCTCTGGGGGGAAAACAACAGCATCGAGACCAAAGGGGTCTAACTAAACTGTATTAAAAGAGAACAAAAGTAAAATGAACAGAATAAAACAGAAGGTTACATCTGCCAAAGCCAGGGATATTTTTGGTTGCAAACACAACAGAAATAGTTACATTAAAAAATGGGGGGGGGGCCCTATGGTCAATGATTCAGGCAAGACATTCAAGGCACATGAATCTATAAACTAACTGCCATGAACCAAAGTCCACAATGGTCTAAGAATCTTACAGTATTTTATTCTCCAGGTATTCTGCTTCAAGGCATGCTTGCTTGCATGCCTCCTCTCTCTCTCTCTCTCTCTTCAACTTCCTCCTCTCTCTCCTTAACTCTCTGCCCTTAGCCTCTCTCTGGAAACTTTGTTTCGTGGATCAAAGATGGTTAGAAGTGAATTTAGGAACACGCATCAGAACCTGGGACTTTTTGATCTGCAAGGTGTCGATTGTTTTCCAGAAGGTGTGAACTGCAGCCAACTCACTTCCTTCCCTTGCCTGTTTCAGCTGGATTAGCACATCACAGAGAATGGGCCATTAAGGTGCAGCAAGCTGGGGAGTTTCTCTGATCTCTTTGAAGCCCGTTCTCCCTTCTGTTCCTGCCAGAAACTAAAAGTTAATTCAAATCAGGATCTCTCATACCTGAATCAAATGTACTGTATATTGAGACACCTGGTCTCATGACAGAGGCATTGGGGAAGTGGGAGAAACAGGGCACTTTGTTGTCTAAGACAAAAGCCATCACAACATCTCATCCCATTCCAAATAGAGGAGCTGATCTGCCTGACGGCTGAATCTTGGAGCTAAATGACATTCAATATGTAGCATGCAGATTAAATTCCCCTGGTTTCTTTCCTCTGGTGCAGGTCTGCGTGGCCCTAACCCAGCTCAGGGGCAGTGTAGACAGACGGAAGATACATCTTATCTCCCCTCTGCATCTTTTTTTTCTAAAGGGGGACACACATACATTTTTCTAACCCGTGTTGTTGAAATAAAATAGAGTGGGCACTATAGTTTAAAACTAGTTCACATTTCCTTTCCAAAATTGTTAATGATTGTTGTTTAGAGGCTTCCCCCTTTCCTTTCATTAATACAAATTCCACAAATCTATCCCAAATAGCATAAAAATATTTGAACTTATTTCCCTTCTTTTCATCTTAAGTTCAGTAGTCAATTTATCATTTAACGCAATGTCCCATACTTCATTATACCAATTTTCTAATTTAATATCATGTTTGTCTTTCCAAAATCTAGCTATTAATATTCTAGCACTTGTCAAGGCAGTTTGTATTAAAAAATATTGTTCCAAAGGGTCCTGTGGGTATGGGGTGCACTGTGGTTTAGCCTGTACAGTAAGTATTTTAGATTTTTGTATTTTGTTTGTTTAAAAAAAACAGTTCAAATTAGTTTAATGTCACCAAAAATCATTAGAGCAGACAGGTGGATTAAATCCACTGATTCTTCACCATCAAGGTGCTTGTTTCTCCTAATGAGGCTTATACCTGGAAAGAAAAACTCTCAAGTATTTCCTGCTAAACGTCTTTGCCCTCCAAGCAGATACGGCTGGGAAGCAAGAACACCATGCCTGCTTTGAAGCACATCATCCTACCCTTCCTCTGCTTGAGACATTGTAATACATGCATCATTAGGAAGCCAGGTTTGTAAACCCAGTCGCTCTCCCTGCACAAGGAAGAAATATTGGTGTTATAGCAACTTTGCTCCTCAAACTTACCAAACCTGGAGAGAGGCCATTGTGGCCCTCCTGAGAAGATCGGTACCAATTTAGTGGATGCAGGTCTAGGGGCCCCTAACAGTAGACGTGCTGGAGATATCTTGGGTCCTCTATTTGCCCTCCTTGTCTCCCATCCGAAGGTCTCTAGTGGGTGCCTTTCTTTTACCCTTGACAATTTGGGATTGCAAAGACGAATGCCTGGCATTTCTCAGCTCCCAGAGAGCAAACAGAAAGCAAACATTTGGTTAAAGATTCACCTGGGTCACATGATCGTAAAGAAACCGTAGAGGATTCTGCGACCCATCGACTGAGAGATATCCAGGTCATTTACAGATGCTATTCTCGCAATTAGCGAAAAGCCCTCTCTAAACAGCGATAAAGCAGATTAAATAATAAGAGGGCAAATTTAAGACTGGAAGGCCCCAAAGGCTGTACAAACTGCAAAATTTGATGAGTCAAACAAGGGTTGGGTCCTGTATTTAATACAAAGTGACAGCTGGCAAATGGGCCATTTGCAAAGGTTCCATCTCACCTTTTAGTTATCTTGAAGTGCTGGTGTCATCTTGTAATACACAACCAGCTGCAACATCAGCCTGTGAGTTTGTGATGTCAAGCTATACTTCTCTCTCATCGATACCGCATTGCTGAATTAGTGTCTGAAATCCTCTTGCAGAACTTTACACCCTACAATGAGGGTGATGTCATCAGTTTCGGCTCTACTGCAACTGTTTTGGGACAAGAAAGTCACCACCACCCATCCCTGTAGCAAGATTTTTTACTGGCTGCGGCAAATCTCCCCTGTGCCTCCTTGATGGGGGCTGAACTTGATGATCCATAGGGTCCCATTCAGCTCAGTAGTTTTAAGATTATTTCCCTTGCCTTTCCATGACTTCTGAATTGAGATGGGGACGAATATAAAAACCGGATCAGTTTTTCTGATAATATAGCTGATTCGTCATATATTCATTGATCCGTATTTCTAAAATTTTAAATTGAGACGAATATCGCTTGACGGATATTTCCTCGGTTTTATTCCTCAATCCGTTCATATTCATCTATATTCATTACCCCTTTAGAGGCCCTCTCTGAGCTTGCTGGCGCCAATTCGAAGCTCTGGCCAATCAGGACAGAGATCTTGGACTGGCATGTCTGGCAGCCAATAGCGCTGCTAAAAGATGTACAGTGGTGCCTCGCTTAACGAGCGCACCGTACAACGACGAAATCGCATAGCGATCCCTTTTTTGGGATCGCTAATGCGATCGCTCAACGTTTTTTTGATAGGGCAAAATTCGCTTTGCGAAGATCGGTAAGCGTTTCGCATACCGATCTTCGCAAAACGAAGCCCGACGATCAGCTGTTCGGCGGCCAAAATGGCCGCCGGAAGCCCGGAAATGGCCCATAATGGCCACGCGCGGCATTTTCGTACCCTCGTTAAGCGAGGGGAGGGCGCGAAAATGGCTGCCGGCCATTAAGAAGCATCGCTGAATGGTGAGTATTCGGCCCATTTGGAACGCATTAAACCATGTTTAATGCGTTCCAATGGAATTCCCTGCCCCGTTCAACAATGCTTCAGCATAGCAAAGGTTAATCTGGAACGGATTAACCTCGCTATGCGAGGCACCACTGTATCTACTTTTACAGATGCTTGTAAAAGTCGTTCCCCACTTCTGTTCATGCTGTCCGGAGTGAGAACAGTTGCTGCTCGCTGGCTTGCTGGTGCTCTTGAGGTTTTGCTTTTGCAGTAGCAAAGCAAAGACATATCTTTCTTCTTCATCATCATTCATCAATCATTATCAACTTTACCAGGAATTTGGGGAGGGATTTCAGGTGGCTTAGGCTAATTCTTTGGAAGGGCTTAATTTCATTTCAAATTCAAATCAATCAAACCTTTTT